TGCTCTGTCTCCACGCCTCTCCCTCTGTATAGCACAACAGCACCGAGACAGGGCGGGGGGGGGGGGGGTTAAGGGCAGAAAGATAAAGGCAGGAAAGGACCCAGGGAAATCAGGGATGACAAGGACCTGCTCTAGCTGGCCATCCCAGCTTGTCTGCTCTGATGGACTCTGGCTGCCCAAGGCTTCAGTCACTAGTTTTCTGCCCTCCATCCTCTTAGCAGGTGATGCCAGGCAGCTGCACCAGAGACTAGGGGCTTACAGGCCCTGCAGCAGGATGGAGTTTGTCTTCTCGCGTGAGGGTCCAATGGCCAGAAACTACTGGCTGCTCCCAGAGTGGATTAATCCCCCTCCAGTTCCTCAGCAGCTTCAGCAGGAGGCCATCTGGAAGCAGCCAAGTGCCTCCAACACCCGCAGAGCCGCTGGCAGGACCTGCCAGGCCACAAGCAAATTCCCAAAGGGCCAGTGACCATGGGAGGAGCTTCCTCCAAACTGTGCAGGCAAACTGAGGACAAGGCAGGGCTTGGGTAGCAAATATCCCTCGGAGCTGCTTCTTCTCCCCACCCCTTTCCCAGGAGCTCTCTGCCTGCAGCCCAGGCCTCCCCTCCCCACTCACCTGTGTTCCTGTCATTTTTTGTGGAGCTCTGGAAGACAAGAGGAGCATCATCAGTCCTGCAGACCCACAACTGTAGCTACACCATCCTCCTGGCTTTCCTCCCCACCGTAGCCCAGTCCCACTGGGATATTAACAGGTCAGAAAGAAAGCTGGAGGTGGGAGATCTCACTGTACAGGTAGTCCTCACTTATCAACCGCTTGTTCAGCACCCATTCAAACTTACGATGGCGCTGCAAATAGAGACTTACAACCAGTTCTCGAACTTACAACAGTTGCAATGTCCCTGCAGTCACATGATCACAATTTGGGTGCTTGGCAATTGGCGCACATTTACAACGGTCACACTGTCCCATGGTCACATAATCACCATTTGCAATCTTCACATCCGGCTTCTAACAAGCAAAATCAATGAGGAAGTAGGGAGAAATTTGCACGTCATGGTCATGTGATGTTGTGCTTAACGATCTGTGGCAATTCACTTAACAACTGCAACTGGAAATGACGTTGTAATTTGGCGCAGTCACATGATGTTGCACTTAACAACTGTGCTGCTTAGTGATGGAGTTGCTGGTCCCAACTGCGGTCAGTAAGTGAAGACTACCTGTAGAGACCAAGGCTCCCTTGGGCACACAAGCATCCTGGCACGTCTCCACCCTAAGTCACACCCCAGCACTGGACCCCAACTCCCAGCTTGGGCCGCTTCAGTTCCAGGTTGACTATTTCTGAGCTCTGGGCAACACCATTCTTCCTAAAAGGCGTTCATGTGATGGGGACACACAGATGCCGTGATTCTTCCTTGATTCCTCAACCAACCAATTAACCCCCCTAACCAGGGGATTTGTAATACCTCAGAGTCATGGTTGAGCCTGTAAACATATAGCTGCGAGGTTCCTGCCACCACCAAGTTGCGCTCGGCGTTGGAGAAGAAGTTGCAGTACATGGAGAATTCCAGCCCAGTGGGAGGGTGGGCTTGCTTGTACACAGCATACATCTTGGCCCCCTCCCTGAAGAGAAAAACAGCTTGGTTGGTGGGGAAGCTACAAAGGGATGGAGTTCCCATGCATCTGGAAAGGTCTCGGTTGGGGGAATCCTGGCAGCAGGGACTCTTGCCCTGATCACTACCCAGCTGGACTACTGCCATTTACTCTATATGGGGCTGCCTTTAAGACCACTTGGAAACTGCACCCGGTGCAAAATGCAGCAGCCAAGTAGGGTTCCAGGAACAACTCAAGGGCTGGTTTTAACCTGTAAAGCCCAATGTAGCTTGAAGGTTGGCTATCTACAGGACCAGCTCATTCACCAGAATGGGCCCACCCAATACAAGCATTTCAGGAAAAGCTGCTGGCTGCTGCTACTACCAGGAGATTAGTGGGATAAGAGATGCCCCATATTGCAGAATCACTTGCAGGGGGTCCTGTTGATCTTCACAAGCAGGTGAAAATAAGGATCCTCCAGACAGCCTTTTAATTAGTTAGGACAGCACCTTGGAATTCTCTAGGTGCTCCGGTCCAAGTTTAACTATTTGTTATGACTGTAATTATTACAGTATTACATTATTGTCTTATGGATGTTTTCTTTTTCTGAGTTATACAATTATGGCGGCGGTTAAAAATAAATAAATAAATAAATAAATAATCAATCCAGCATTCATCTGCCCTCCAGGACAGTATCTTGGCGTGATCGGAAAGGGCGATCGAAAGATGAAAAAGCGGCCCCAGGGTTTCCCTAAACAAGCATCTTTGGGCTGTGATAACCTATCACACGTGCGTAGCTAGATTACAGAATTAACCCCTTTGGGGGGTTCACAGGAGGCACTAAATCAAAATAACCGCAGAGTTTCGAGCGGCACAAGACGTGAAGCCACCAAAGCTTTCTGAGCGGGGGATGTTCACGGGTTCACGCATTCACACGGCCCAGGGCTGGGCTGGGCTGGGCACGGGGGGGGCCTTCCCTTTTCGGCTCAGCAGGATGGGTCTTCCTTTGCAAAGCAGAGATTAGGGAAGGAAATCCCGCAGGCGGGGCAGAGAGGACCCTTCGCACGTGCTAATCCGCGGATACTTAAACCGGGGTTCATCGATGAACCCACGTCCTGGGTCTGCCCAAGAACCTTCTCCACGGATGAACCGCTGGCTGGGTTCCCTCAGGACAAAGCAGCCCCCCGCTTCTGAGCCGAGGAACCCTCGAGCGCCTTCCTTGCAGAACACCCACGAGGGCGCTCCAGAGCATGTACAGAGTGCGTTTCCTTCCCCCCGAGTACCAAACCTCGGGAGAAACACGCCGCCGAG